TATAAATAAATCTCTTTACAAATATTAATATAAATCATGTTTGAAGTACTCCTCAAATACGGCACTTCAGTTACAGTACATGTATTTAATTTTAATACTGAATTTTATAACATTAGATAAAAACAAAATCTACTTAATAACATTTGGTAATTTTTAAAAAATTCTAAACTAGTATAAAGGCATTTGGATTTAATTGATAAATACAAATATTTGTATAATTATAAACTATATTATGAACAAATTTATTTGTTATCTAATTTTTATTAATAAGAATCAATATTATTATTTTTAATAGATTTAACGCCTAATTTATTGCTTACAGTAAACAATATATTTATAAAAAGGATTAATATTTATATTTCATTGTCAAACAAAACGACTTTTATATTACTTGTATTTATTAACAAAATTCAAATGAAATTCTTTGAATTTACTCATCATTTTACGCAAGTTTTCAATTTGGGGTAAAATAGTTGTCCGGAAATGATATGTTCCCTCTATTTGGCCGAAACCAGAACCGGGAACCACACAAATACCTGTGGTCTCCAGTAATTCCATGGCATAGAAAAAGTCGGGCTTTTGTTTCTTATCGGCGGCCGCTTTGATGGCTTTGGGCGGCAAAATAATTTTGGGAAAGGCATACATAGCGCCGGCCACTCGGTTAGACTCAATGCCTTCAATGGAATTGAATGTCTCGGCAATCAATTGAGCCCTCGTTCGGAGCGATTCCAGCCCTTCTTTCTTCTCCTTCATGTATAGATCGTAAGATTGGGTCCCTTTTGGCGGAGGATTCACAACACAATCCATTGCTATTTGGCCCAAAACTGAAGAACAGAGCCGTGCGCTCAACATCTTGTAGAAGATAGCCTTCACTTGGCTGTCAAAGTTGGCTAACTCTAAATAACCGCCTCTCAGACCGCACTCACCCATAAAACCTATAAATTAGTGATCATTAAAATGTGTATAAATGTATAAATTATTCATTATATCCATAGCTATAGATGCGAACCTTTGGAAGCGCTCATCATTGAAGCCAATTCTAGTTTGATTCCCAATTCATTCATCACTTTTTTGAATGAGAAGAACTGTGCGCTCGGATCCCATATGTTGTGCTGATAGACTTCGTCG